AAGTTGAGTGTGCAAACGTTTCAATGTATAAAATAGTTTAAATAAAGCAGTGAAAGTCGGTGAAATAAATGTGTACATAGTGAACTTAAAAATAGCTAATGGAACGGTTTTTGAACTCCGTGCACTGCATGCGTCATATTATAACGTCATACGATCCTTAGCGAGAGCGGAGAGCTTGGCGGTTACCGTGGCAGCGGGTGATATTGTTTCCAGTTGTCACTCTCCTGGGAGGAATGACACGGAAATTTGTTAACGTGTCTTTGACCAATAAAATTAACGTATTTTACATGAAGGTAAGATAAATCCCTGTGCACTTAAAATAGATGGTGGACACACAAACACGTGCACCTAGTTGCGTGTATATTAACATTTAGTATCATTGGACAACATACTGTGACTATGTGTCCCAGTTCACCCAGCTGCAAGTGGGTACCTTCTAAGGAGGCTGTGTGATAACTCGCTGCGCTTAACAGGCTGCATGCGTTGAATACCCCCATGGAGTTGAGTTGGTTAAAAAAATGCTAGAAGAAAAGACATCTGTTGATCAAGGAAACACTCAAGCGCCTTGAGCATGTACTTGTGGTGTGGATTTGTGCGCTATATAAATTTCTTATGATAGTTATACAGGTGATGTTCCTCCATGGTTCAGCAAAGGTCGCACAATATTCCTTCCCAAACAAGGAGACTTGACTGATCCTAAAACCTTCCGCCCTATCACATATTTGAATACACGATATAAAATATTCACAGGGTGTTTGACAAACCTCGTGTCATATTTTACTCTTCTTCCAATGATATAATTTACAGAGAGCAGAAGGGGGCAAGGAAGGGATGTTGGGGATGCAAGGATCAACTTCTTGTACAGAAAATGATTTTGGAAGAGGCTAAAACATATCACCGCAACCTCTCCATGTGCTGGATTGACTACAAAAAGGTATATGACTCTGTCCCTCAAGAATGGATTCTGAAGTCTCTTCAGTGTATTGACCTCCCTGAGCGACTACTTGATTTACTCAAGTCTTTAATGAGTTGCTGGTCGAAACAAATTGAGATGTACTCGCAAGGGCAGGTGCAGACTTCAGATTCTATTCCAATCAGAAGGGGGATATTTCAGGGGGACTCTTTTAGTCCTTTGCTTTTTGCTTGTCTTTAAATCCTTTGAGCTTCCTGCTCAATAGAGAGGAGGGTTATCATCCCGGACCTCCTCAGCACAGATCCCAAGCACCGCTTACTCATCTCCTTTACATGGATGACATCGAGCTCATTGCCAAAGGAAATACCAATTTGAGAGAACAGGTCCTCCTTGTCGAGTCCTTTTCTAACGATATTGGCATGACATTTGGACTCGACAAATGTAATGCTCTTCGTCTGAAACGTTGCAAGGTAACTTATGATGGATCGGTCAAGTTACAAGGGGGAGGAGTTATTGAGCATCTCGTGGAAAACCAGACCTACACCTATCTTCGAATGCAAGTTCGAGACAAGCTCCAGAATGCCCAGATTCGGGCGAGTACAAATCTGGCTTAAAGAAAATCTGGAGCTCAGAGCTAAATGCTCGAAACAAGGTCAAAGCCACAGTACTTTTGCTGTGCCAATACTTTCCTATTCATTTGGAGTAGTTGATTGGACAAAACAAGATATCCAATTCTTGACTGTCTGACCAGAAGGATCATGTCTGATAACAGAGCCCACATCCCTCGTTCCTCTCTTAACCGTTTATACATGCCAATCAATACCGGAGGTCGGGGTTTGATTAATGTGAAGGCTTTTCATGGTAGAATTATTTGTGTACATTTGCACATATTTATTTATCGGATGATCCTCTAGTGATGCACGTCAAGACTCATGATGAAAGCAAGGAATTCCACAGCTAGTTTAAGCGTGCCATGGTTGCATCTAAAATTTGAGGTTGATTTTGTTGATGGCGATGTACTGCTAGACGGTACAGCGATGGGAGTTAACCAGGTGAAGTCCTTCACCAAGTCTGCCCAGGGTCGGTCTTTTGTGGAGAAGGTTTCTGAGAAGCCATTGCATCGTGTGTACAAGCAGTGTGTGGAACAGAATAGCAATCTAACCTACTCCTTCACCTGGATGAAGTCGGCTGGTCTAAAACTTCCTTTTTGCTGCTCAGGACTAGTCGCCTAAATGTGATCATTAAAGAAATTATTAACATGAAATGCCGACTGTCCAGTGACTGTCCAACACCTTGTTAGTGGATGCCGTTCCTTGGCACAAACAGCATATCTTAAAAGGCATGATTTACTACCGTCTTCGCCATGCCTGTGGCTTTGACTCCGAGGTCCATCAATGGTATGACCCTGAACATGTCCAGGGCGTCATGGCGTCAAATACAGCCTCAAAAGAATTCATGCCAACAAACCTGATCTTGTCTTTTTTGATAAAGCTTTTCATATCATTGCATTTTCTGTCCCTTCTGACAGCAACGTGATTGACAAGATTCAGGAAAAGCATTCTAAATATGCGGACCTCTCCTTTGAAATGTTTCGCTTGCATTCCAAGTACACTGTCGTCAGACTCCCCATTGTTCTCGGTGCCCTTGGTTTGGTACTTCCTGATCTCTTGGCGCAGATCAGGAGAGTGCCCGGGTTCTCCACTCTGGGTAATGCTGTGTTGGAGAGTCTACATATTCTCTGGAAAGTTCTTGGTGGGTTTGACTAGGCAGCGTTCCCTTGGAGAAGTCCCATTCGCTGTCTGGGCTGCATGTAGAATGGGCAGGGGCCCTGGGCTGATGATGATCTTTACCAGCCTGACTATGCCAGGATACCCCGAACCCTCTCTGCTGCTTACTAGTTTTAATCTGTAAATAATAATAATAATGCAGCTGAAAGATCGCGTTCAAAAGGTGCGTGGTGTTAAGTATCATGCAAACAAATCATCAGGCACAAACTACGCACAATTGCATTTGACCAGTAGATCAATGTTGTCCGTAATGGACAAAGCAACAAAAAGGTTGAAAACCCGTGTGATTTAAACTTGATGTCTATAAACAGAATGTATATATGTGTCTGTACTCCAAAAACTAATTCTTTCCCTGATATGGAGATAGGAAGTCAGCGGGACAATTACTGATATTTGCTGATGTTAAAAGGCAAACATATACTACCGTCCAAAAGAGAGTATACCAAATATTTTTGCCGTCTAAAATCTTAATTTTAAACCTAGATCCAGGAAAAACATGTGACAAGAAACATGTGACAAGGTAATGGCTACTCGTTTGTAATGACAAATTTCTCGTCTCGGGAACTGTTTCGCTCAAATGCTCATTTTCTGAAAAAGTAACATGCACGTGCTCCACGAAATGCACGTGCAGAAAAACCGTATAAAAGCAGCTGATGACACAAAGCATTGTCACAGAATGCCTGACCGCAGTAAAGAGCGAGAGAGCCGTTCTGCGTATTCACAGCTGATGGCCGTCAACCTGTCTAGAGACGTATTAGAGAACGTTTAGCTCCTAAATGTATCCAAGAAAATCCGGCGTATGGTGGAGGTGGTGTTATGGTGTGGGGAGGAATATGTGGTGATCTGAAAACAAGGCTAGTCATCATTCGTGGCAACCTTACTACACAGAAGTACAGGGATGACATTCTGCGACCGGTAGCCCTTCCATTCATTCACCAACAGCCACGTGGCATTGTCTTCCAACATGATAATGCAAGACCTCATACCACTAGACTGACAAAAGACTACCCGAACAACATGAACGCCCACGTCTTACCAGGGCCAGCGTGTTCACCAGACATGAGCCCTATAGAGTATTTGTGGGGCCATTTCGACAGGCAGATGAGGAACAGACCAGTACCCCCAGTCAACGTGCGACAGCTGGAACACTGCCTGAATGACGCCTGGCAACAGATTCCACGCAACGTCATTAGACGCTTTACATCATCCATGCGCCGACGCATTGTTGCTTGTCACAATGCTCAAGGAGGACATACTCGCTACTGAGGCAGACTCAGTACATGGCTCTAAATTGTATACCTGGCATTTTCAAAAACTTTCTGGTTGTAGTTTTATTGTTATGATCCATTTTTGGACCCCACCCCACCCATGTGTTTGTTTCATTTTCATTTCTTTATCATTGTTATTTCTGAATTGTGTTTATGTTCAAATAATGCAGAAATGAATACTTTAATGAAATATTCAACATATTTTTTGTTGTTTCTTAATTGGATTTCGAAACTACTGGTATACTCCCTTTTTGGACGGTAGTTTATTTCATACATGCTGGCAATAGAGGACATACTGAGAGCCCCAAATGATGATTAGATTTTCCGCAGTGTGGAACTCGAGCTGTGATGCGTTCCCTTTTGCCTGAAGTAAATTACCGAGAACATTTGACTTCATGAAACGAGTACCGTTCTCGTTTAAACGTTGCTAGGATAAAACCATTTGTTAAAACAATGAAATGCCAAAACACGTATATTGAACTTCAGTAACGATGTTGTTTTCGTTTTAGCTGTTGTCAACAGTTGTTATTTGTTTGTTTTTTCACATTGACTAAAGCCACAAACACAATGCACGTGCTTGCGTGCGTGCTTGCGTGCGTGCGTGTGTGCGTCTGCTTGTACTAATCTGGTGTATAGGTCGTTTTATGGCGCTAGCACATGAAGATACTATGCCACAGTGTCTAACAAGGATACCCCACATATGTCCGTGCGTGCGCCTGTGCGTGTGTGTAAGTCTGATTGTACTAATCAGGACTAATGGTCGTTTCATAGTCCTCCCCTAAGAAGATACCATGCCGCAATGTTTAAAAATGATACCCCACATGTGTCCGTGCGTGCGTCCGTGCGTGTGTGTGCGTGCGTCTGTTTGCACTGATGATTCCTTGCCGACCAGTCCATATTTTATTCCCTAATGCCGAATGCCGCGGCCATGTGCTCGAATCCCGACCTTCCGTTCTTTCGGCAAACACTCTTTCCACTAGACCACTTCCGTGGAACGCGCGATATGTGATGATACCACGAACAAACACAGCATTGGGTTTGAAATCCTTTATGTTTCCACTCTCACCAACATGACCATCTTCAGAAGACAGGAAATAGGAGACTTTATTAAAAAAACTAACTTAAGAACACAGCGTCGAACGTCTTATACAAGGTAGATAGAAACTGTAAGGTCAAGATAAATTCTTACTTTAAGGAATAGAACTGGGGTCGTGTTATGATCATAAAAGGATTATGTATCAATTTAGTGACACAGTTACAGACAGAAGCTCTTGTGTCTACAAATGTTTTCTTCTAAAGTTGTCTTAATGATGTTACCAACACTTGGTCCTCTCTTAACTAAAACGTTCAGACGTGTCTGAATTGGTACAAATACTTTCTTTACAAGTTTCGTATATAATTATGTTTGACTTAACTGTTAAGATTCACTTGTATTACCAAACAAGACAAACACAACCTAAATAAATTCAGACGTGTCAAAAAATTTCAATAAACCTTATCTCAAAAATGTTGGTTAAAGAATTAAGCTTGATTAAATGGTTGATATACACTATGCAAAACGAAACAAACAATTGATCCTTTCTTAACGAAATAGTTCTGGCATGTCCAAATTGTCCATGAAACTCTTCGGAATAGAGTTGTATGAGAGGCACTCTCAGGCACTGTTGAAAAACGGGGTTTCGAAAGTGTTCAAATTCCGAAAAAATATTGCATCATTTCATTTTCTGAAATGATAACCTTCTCGTCCATGCGGCATGTAGGTTCTATACCAGGCTCAAACCAGCGATATCACTTAAAAGGTGGCGAGTCCATGACGTCACTTCCGTAGTGATTGTGTAATCACCAGTTGCTATAGAAACCGGATGTATCTTCTCGCCGTCGTTTCGCGGGAAGAGCGAGCTTGTCGGGCCTGGATGCGGATTTTGATGAAACGTCTCCCAACCTGAAAGATGCACAGAAAACTGGCTCAGACAAAGTGATACGTTGGTGTTTACGTCAGACTAACATCTAGTCTCTGGAATGAATATTTTGTACGACAAGATCAAAATGTTTCTTATTGTAGTCTTGCATCAATTGGGAATGAATAAATGAATGAATTGTACTCGTCACAATACAACCGAATATCAGCCATAATCTCATTTCAAGTCTGAGGCTTGATATTTTGTACGGTGTAAAAAACCCAACTATACTCAATTTTATAATAGATTTGCAAAGATTCAAATTTCGAATTTGTTCGTACATGATCCTTGTATCCTAATTATGATTTCAGAAACCTTTCCTGAGGTGTCAACCCCAATCATTCGATATATGCCTGGTCTGTTTTGTAAGGTCCCCAGGTGTTACTTTGTTAAGTATCCAATCCAGAGAAGAATTAGCAGAGATAGACCATTTCTGTCGATTATGTTCAGCCTTTGATTCCCTTCCATAATTGGTATGCTAAGTTCATATTCCAGCTGGGATAGCAGATGATCAACAAACCAACCATCAAGCTAAAAATAAAGTTTAGAGACCGTTACTAAGGAAAGAGTTCGTGCACATCCCGAAATGGGGGAAGGTTTTCTGTTCTGTTCTCACCGAAACATGTGTTGGGAATTGGTTAAAATCTCATAATTGATGATTGGTCCATTACAACCGATCAATCATCGAAAATAATTGGTTAGCGTCATTTATCAAATGTTCCTGTTGTCTTTGTGAATAATAAAGAAGAAACATGTAGTAATTTGGGTTTTTGCAAATTAAACAAAATCCATTTGCAAATTTTGCATATTTAAAGGATTATTAGTATGTTAGGAACACAGATTTCCTGGATTCTTTACGATAAATTCAATCATGACTTGGAACGAGCTTGTTGTGCTTATGAAATGTAAATTTAATGACACAGACAAAAGCAACCTTGTGAAAAATATTGTTGATGCAAACAAGTGTTCCAAGATTGGTTGCGTTCAATAAAGAGAAAACGTGTTCGATTGCTTGGTCGTTTAGTCACTGCGACCAATCTTGGATTATTTCAATTAATCGGACCACCACTAGTACTCATGTGGTTTGATCGTTAACCAGAAGACGGTGCCCAGTTCCCGTATTCTGGTTACACACTACACTACACTACATGTAGGTAGTATTGTAGTGGGCAGCGTTTTACCCACCTCCCTCATATTATATTAACAATATTTCAGTGGAATAAATGGGGTCGGATGACACCTATTTACAGATTACAATTATTATAGATAAATGCAGCAAAGATCCTGGCACAGTCAGGCTACTTCAGCTTATCATCAGCTCATGGCCCTGGCCCACTTTACACAAAGCCTAGACAGTGAATGGGACTTCTCTGAAGAAGCGCTTCCCCGTTGAACCCAACAAAGACCTTTCCTCGTCGACTCCCTAAAAGTGCAGCCTTGTTCACTACCCTGACCGCAAACCGGAGGCACCAAGGAAAATTGGGAGGAGGACCCCTTAGTACATGGGATCAAAACGTGACACAAACGTGAAGTCCGCATATTTTCCGTGTTTTTTTTCTGAATCTTTTCAATCATATCTGAGACAAAAGGAGATTATTTTTATCAAAACTATCAAGTTCGCTGTTTAAGGGGTTTTATGATTGAGGGATTTTATTATTGTCATCTTCCATTGCACTATTCTGGTCCATGAAGGGATCTTTGGGAAGCGCGAAGTGACTCGTCAAACAGACAGCCTTCTGTTTCACTTTTCACAACAGAATTCTCAACAGACTGTCTTGACGAAATGGTTGCATTACCATAATTACCATTCTTAAATGTTAAAAGTAAAACCGCCTCCGTGGTGTAGTCGGTTAGAGCGTCCGCCCGGAGAGCGGAAGGTCGCGGGTTCGATCCCCGATCGCGTCATACCAACAGACGTTAAAATATGGTACTTGTTGGTCCCTGTCTGGCGCTCGGCATTCATGGGTACAACAAGGACTGATCTGCTCGGAGTCAGTATAATGTGTCTGAGTGGGGTATTCATGCTTCACTGCGGCATGGTATCTCAGTGGGCTAGCACTATAAAACCAGCTTCAGTCTGGGCCAGTACAAGCAGCCGCACCTACACATACATGCAAGTCGTCAAAAGAGCGAAATATTCTCAAGCACGACGTTAAACCCAATTTCACCTCACCTCACCTTAAAAGAAAACTGGGATATTGCTAACTGTGTAATTCCATTGTCTCTCACACCTTATGGGCACTCCTTAATACTTATTCGTGGGTACATCCCGATATACAAAATGCAATTTGATCAAAATGCGCTGTCGTTTATCTGAGGAATGTTTCTTTCATGTTAGAAAATCTATATTTTCCATTGTGATTTATTACACTCCAACCATAGTGTATAGCTGCGAATTTGTTTTTGGTTGTAGATTTCGTCTTCGGCGTTGATGGCAAAGAAAGCAGCTGGCAAAGAAAGCTTTGTTAGAGCTAATTATTCCTAAACTGAACGCAAGGCCCTTTCTTTTGATGTATCGCTCTTAACGTAGGCTTTTAACTATATAACATATGATGTTTCCCTTGGGCTATTATTCAAAACAATCGTCACACATCCACGATCTAGTTACACAGTTTCACATATCACATTGTGAATATTTGTCATGACATATTAATGTCCGTTTAATCAAAATACAGCAATACTATTCCATACCTTCATCGCGATGAACTTTACATTGCGCAGTATTGCCAAAGGGAATGTTTAATCATTTTTATCTATGTATTTTTATTACTTTTTGTTGTTTTATTTCTTATATTAAAGCCACACTTGCTCAATGATAGCGGCATGTAAATGATGAACCAGTGGTTGATATTAAGACCTCCGAGCATCAATTACACACAGCCGCAGACCTCCCTATTATCTGAGACCTATCGTACATAAACGAACCCTTTCTGATCGACGCGACGACCCTTAAACCGCGATCGCTTCGCGAAACGTTCGCTCCTCCGTCGTGATAATAGTTGAGTGGTGTAATGATTGCAGACAAAAGGGATTTGGTTGTTCGTGTGTTTGTTTCTTTTTTGACCACCTACATGTCGTTCCAGTTATGTGACGAAAGTCCATACATAATTGAGTCTGGATCAGACAATCCAGCACCGTTCTACGCAACTGGGCTAAGATGACATATATCGACAATGTGAGCCTAACTATGTGATCACGTTATTCGCTTCTTACAACAGGCATGGGTTGTCGATGGGGAGGACAAGCTCATATTTTCGCAAACACCCGGTGTTATCACTGTCGATGGTGCTTTTAGAAGAGATTTATTTTGCAGGTGGAAGTGTCGCTTTTATTTTTATTTATATCAACCCTTCTGAGAAGTGAAAGGTCGGCACGGCTCCAATGAACGACAGCTATGACAATACAAAGTGTCCTTTAGAAAGTGGTCAAATGTAACACGTGCTATATTTAGGATCACACTTTGTCTTGACATCCATTACTGTGGAAACCTGTGTCCTCCAAGATATACTCTCCCAAAAAAGAAACGCATATAGGAATTTCAACTGTATTTTTATGTTTATTTTGAAACATCTTGTAGGCTTTATGAGTCAATGAAATATAGCGAAATTGCACACTGGGAATGCAGACTTATCCGTCTTTGGCACCAACTCGAGGAGTGTCACATGGTGACGTGTGGTGGCGCTGAAGTCAATACCTCGTGTGACCACCGTGGGCATCCAGAACTGCACGGCATCGCCTCGGCATCGAACGAATAAGTCTCAGAATCTCGTGTTGCCCAATCGCAGCCCACTCTGCCTGTAGTGCCTGTGCGAGTTGCTGAAGTGTCTGGGGCTGAGGGTTACGGCGTCGCATCCCACAGATGTTCGATCGGGTTTAAGTCCGGTGATCTTGAGGGCCAGGGGAGCACATTGATGTTGTGGTTCTGGTATTTTACGGATGGTGCGTTTTGTTGTGGTTTCAAAACATAAATACCATAGGACTCATAAACAGAGCAAAACCTTTTGTAAAATGAATCACGTTTTAATTCAATGCTACATGAAATTGCTTTTTTCATGATGCGTTTCCTTTTTGGGAGAGTATACAACGTTTGTTATATTTGACCTCTTTCTGAAAGGCATTATGTATTCCTGTATTTATGTTGTAATATACGACATGATGTTTTACTCAATCACGTAGGTGATAATTATCACTATTATCACATCACATTGACCAATGAGTGAGTGAGTGAGTTTAGTTTTACGCCGCACTCAGCAATATTACAACTATATGGCCGCGGTCTGTAAATAATCGAGTCTGTACCAGGCGATGTCACATGTGTCAACCAAGTCAGCGAGCCTGACCACCCGATCCCGTTAGTCGCCTCTTACGACACATTGATCAATAAAATGTGTTTACGTTCAGCATGATATATTTATAGTGGGCGGTGGTTAAGGCGTCTGTGAGTCATGAAATTAGGCCTGATATATGATGATATAAATATATCACCAAACTGAACTTATCTTTGAAGAAGGTCGTCGCTCTCTTCGGATTAATGGTGTTGTAAAACACGTTTTTTAGTCACTTGTGATTTTAAGTGATCTCACAATCGATTTGACCTCGGAACCTAATTGATAAATTTCCATCAGTTCACTTTCACGAAAACAGTCATTACCAAAGAAGGCACTTTGCGGCAAAGAAAATGTTCAATTACGTTTCGAATGGGAAAAAATACTTGCTATCACGAAAAAAACCGGGCCTGATATCCCCTTTCAACATCCTTGATCCTATGAATATGTGCAAATGATATTTTATCGTTATAACAGTAAAATGTAGTATTTTTACATCGCTCACACATTGCTCCTACAATGCTCGTATACATAGGATAGAAAGCATTGATAATCGTCCTTTACAAAGCAAGTTTGACCTGTGTTCGAATCCCGCTTTGCCCTGATTATGTTTCCAGATGTGTCAGCATCATTGCTCACAGTCCTCCTGCATGAAGCTC